GCCTCATTTGTGCATCACTAATTTCTCCTCTCAGTGCGAAATTCTGGTTTTAATTCTAGGAAGTGAACTTCTGGGGATAATCCCTGTTGGTTGGTGGTTGACAGGGATCCATTCGCTGTTAGGTAGAAGATGACAGCTAATCTGGACCATGAGTCTTTCGTGTCTGATGCTTGTCCTGAGGATTCTGGTATTTCCTGCTATGTGACACCGCAGCAGTGAGAAGCTGTCCACCTCTTGTCTTTCCACTATTTGGGAAAAACCGCGAGGGTCAAGGCAATCCTTGTCAATAACTGCAAAAGTGTAGTAGGTACAATAAGGATGATCTTAATATGCAATGGTTCCCTCATAAGGAGCTCCACAGAAATAAGGGGATTAATACAGGAAGAGTATTGAATTTTTAGCATGGAATGCGCAGCTTTCTTTTCACTGGTATACTCAAGTTTCTAAATAACTGAAAAAATTCAAACAAAGGTCCTTTAGGGATTGCTTACATCAGACTACAGAAAACAGAGGAAAGACACATCATTACAAACAAGCAACCAAGTCAGCAACATGAGCACTTGTGGCAACCCTACAAGTCAAGATTTAAACCTTCCAGAACTGTAAGCCAGTTCAGTCCTTAATACAGTTGGATGAGGAGCAATGACGTCATGCACAGATACATACCCTGGAAACTCAAAAGCATATCACAGAAGTACTCCGATTTTCATGAATGAGCTTCCTTCAATGACCTAATTTGGCTCACTTATTTCATTTTGTTTCCCTCACTGTTAGTTGCTGTTAATACATATCGTTGCCTCTGCTTTCACCTTAAATAATGTGCACTAGTTTGATGAATTTTTTTCCCTTTAAATATATTTTCTCAGAAACAAAACAATATACTTTCTATTCCTTGGGATAGAATAGACAAATTTGGCCTCTAAAAGTTTAAATTAATTAAAAATTAATTTCCCAATTAATTTCAGAAAAGTAATAATCACTTATGTAAATATGAAATAAGAAAATTAAGAATTTCTGGGAGAAATGCATTACTACTTATGCTTTCAATGTGGTATTTATATGAGGAAAAATTTTTTTGAATTGGTGACAAGGAGCTATAACAGATTTAGCTGTAGATTAAATTAATGGTCTTGATTACTTGGAAGAACAGTGAGAAATGAAATGAAATTGATTACAAAGACGACCCTTAATACTTTTAGGCAATTTAAATAATTTATACATTTTATATATAATGACATTTAAAATGTTTATGTCATGTGGTTTGTTTTTATCGAGGTTACTCAGAAAACTTAGATTGGTTTAATAATTTTGGTCTACAAGTGACTATATATATTTTTTCAGATTATCTTAAAATGTAGAAAATAATGGTGGTATAATATTCTGGTATGTAAGTCTTGGCTTTATTTTGGCTTGAACATCTGAGTTAAGGTGGACTTCTTAAATTTCTTATACTGGTTGTACCAGTTAAATAAGGAAACATATTCAGGAAGATTTCAATGTCATTAAAAAAATCATTTAAATTTATGTGTTGAAGTATATTAAATATACCAGTCAAGTACATTAAATATACTAATATCTTTAAAGAGGAATGAATACTTGTAATTCTAGAAACCAGACGACTCAATTATTCCGCTTACAATTTCTGGTAAACATTTTTAGGTGTCATCTAATATGTGATTCCATATATACGAATATATGATTCCAACATTCTCACGTTCCATCATGTGTCAGCTTAAATTACAAATTCAACATCTAGAGTTAAATTTAAATCTTTGACTAACATTAAATTGATTTGATTACTGAATCATCTTTGGTTGCCTGAAAATTCTCTGTGTCTTTGTCCTTCCCGTTTGCCCTGATTTCCTGATAGGTTGGCTGACAACAGCGCTTTCGTTGGGGAATGCTGTTGTTTTCTGGGTTCACATATATTTCTATATTTTGTAGGTTTGCGGCTGGTGCTGTGGCTATTCTTATGTGTTCGCTTGACAAAAGTTCAGTAGAGTGGCTTGTGTTTTCACTGCTCTGACACGGCAGAATCATAACCTTAATGCTGCGCACTGCACAGCTTCTGAAACCTTCTCAAAGCGCCTCCTTGCTTCTCGTTACACATTCACTTTTTGCATGGCACTTGCTTTTTATCACAGCAAGCACCAAAATCCAGCTTTGCAAAGAAATGATATCATTGAAAACATTGTAGAATAATCTAATGTTGGCAGATTTTCCTATGTAAATTACACCTCAATAAAGCTTACTTTTAACATAAAAGGACAAACAAAACCAAATGTTGACAGAATGGAGAGCACTGGAAATTCTTT